AAATTAGTTAGCATAAGTCAGTTGAATGACGAAAAATTAGGTGTCTATTTACTTGTGACCACTCAGTGTATGTGAAGTCCCGTCGCAGTATGTTTCTCAGTGCACAGTTCGAGTATTATTGTGCTATCTATAATCGCGAACAACCAATTATTTAGAGCGAGACAACTGGCCGGTAGTTGAACTAATGTTAGCGTGAGGATAACGCACGTTAATGATCATCATTAACAGGTATTTTATTTTAATTTCATTCTTAATTTAAAAAAAAAAAAAACTATATCACCATGCTTTGTTTGCTTGCATGAGCTATCTGTGCTGTGCCTACCACGGGTTTCGAAAACAGGTTTCTAGCGTTATAAACCTTCAGACTTACCACTGAGCCACTAGGGGCATATTACCATACAAGATACGTAGAAATTTAAAAAAAACCGTCAATACCCCCCCCCCCCCCCCCAGAAAAAGATCACTAACCATTACCGGAAGATGACGCTCGTTACAATTACGCGCTGTGTTTTGATATTGATATACATTTCGGAAGCTAAGGCTTCAGAAACTCTGTAGAGAGAAGGACACGATATATTATTTTTCTAAACTATATTGAGTAAGTAACACTGACTAACATTACAGTCTCAAGAAAAACAATATTTTAGTGAAAAACACCAAAATTAATGCGCATATCTCGCTTTGTTGGGTATGGTTAGCGTAAAAAAAAAGATCATTCAGCAATTCCAATGTCAACACTGGTACTGTTGTACTATTACTAATACTAGTATTAGTAATACTAATAGTAATGATATTATAATAATGCTGAGGCCATCCCAATTTTGTTTTTACAATAATGATATTGACAGGGCATAAATACCAAGTTAGTAAAGTTTATTGATGACATTAAAATCTTTAGTATTTCTAGTTGTACTGAAACTGAATCTCAAAGTGTTATGGTATTACAGGAATGACTTGATATGTTGGATAGATATTTGACAACTACTTTAGCCTTTAGTTATAATTTATAGTAAGTGCCAGAAATATTACAACATCTTCTCTAGTAAGAAGAGAATTTTAGAAATTCCTCATAGTCTTTAACAATAACTATGCCATCAACATCCTTTAAGGGCCCAACCTCCATTTTACTTACCTCTAACGTACCTAAAAGAAATTCTTGTTGTTAGTTTAACATTATCAGGTGGCTGTTTCTCATAAGCTATCTTGGATCTCCTAATTTATTTTTTAAACAAATCCCTAGGCTCTGTGCAGTTATTGAAATCTTTCAATATATCTCTCTATATAAAGTTTTTTAACCTGTGTCATTTATCCTCGATTTGCCCTTTTAGATAACAGAAAATAGGTATTAGTATATTTTTGCTTGTGATACCCTTTTGTGATCAAAACAGTTTTCTTAGTCTTTAGTCTTTGCATCGTTTTTCAAAGTAAAGAAGCTCAGCATACAGGTCTTATGTATGCCAAATTTGCCTGACAGGGTGATGTAATCAGATATTTTGTTATAAATTTGTAATTTGCTTCAAAAGAAAGAATAGATTAATGACATACCTTCATAAAAATAATTTACATACTTTTAATTTTCTTAGGTGTTTTGGTCTTCCAGCTTTGAATGTGATTTTCATCCTTTAGTCAGCTTTGAAAACTTTAAAAAAATAATAAAAAATATCTATTGAAAGTACAAAAATACTTAAAAGTAGCAGAAAAATAAAGTAGACAATGCTTCACCTACATGATCTTCATCATTGATAAATTTGTGAACTCTTATACAAAAAAAAGTCCAGTTCAGTTTTGTGAGTTTTTTCTTAATAGATTTTTATTTATTTTTTATTAGCTTGAAAAGGAAGAAACTATTATGGCCTGTCCTGGTATAATTCATCGGTTAGATGAGAACGTTGTCAACAAAATTGCTGCTGGTGAAATTATAGTACGTCCGTCTAATGCATTAAAAGAATTAATTGAGAACAGGTATTGAAAGAAAAGTTTAAAAAAGGATAATTTTTTTACTACGTTTATTGTTTACAGTGAGAAAAGTTCTATTATAAATTTTGAAAAGCATACAGGTTCATAAATTTCAAAATCAGAAAAAACTTGCTATGTTTAGTATGGTTTGATAAAGCATGATAAATCAGATTTTGATAAATCCCAATATTTGGGTATTTTTATGCAACAAAAATTAACTGCATACTACAAATCACAGGACTTAAGATATTGTCTTTAATACACTGAATGTATTAAGTAATTTAGAATTAAATGACTATTTTAAACATATAGAACTGCCATTTCTGATAGTGTATAATCTAAGAAAAAATTATATAAGTTTAACTTAAAACATCCAGTTATATGTATAATGAAAAAAGTCTATGATAAAGTTAATTTTACATGCAAGTTTTTATTCAAGTTTTACGCTTCTTGTGTCAAAATTACAGATTTTAATTTAAGATTCTCTGTGTCTGTTTAGTCCTCTAATAAAATCTGTAAATTCTTATTGTTTTATAACATTTTTTTTACTAAATAAATTAAACATGTTTCTAAAGCTTGGATGCTAAAGCCACAAGTATACAAGTAGTAGTGAAGAGTGGAGGTATGAAGTTATTACAGATACAAGATAATGGGACAGGTATCAGAGTAAGTAACTGTTTTATTTTATAACTTTAATGTGTCAGAGAGTCTTGCTTTGTTCTTGTTTCTCTCCTAAGTTTTCAATCAGTTTGTATGATACATAAATATATGATTTAATCTTTCAGTTATAACCATATCTATAAATTTTAATTTTAGATTTACATATCAAATGATAAATTGTGACCATGAATTGGTTTTTACCTAACAGTCTATGTTGTTGTTTTTTACTAAATCGTTGAAGAAGGAAGATTTGGACATTGTGTGTGAACGGTTTACAACGAGTAAATTACAGAAGATTGAGGATCTATCTACAATGGCCACGTATGGGTTTCGTGGGGAAGCTCTTAACAGCATCAGTCATGTAGCACATTTGTCAATTACCACCAAGACAGCAGATTCAAAGTGTGCATTTAAGTAAGTTATATTATACACATTTTACCATGGATTATTTTACTCTTGGTTCACAAAAAAATGCATGTAGTTCATTTTTAAAACCAATCAAGTAAAAAAAAGTTATATATATACTTGGTAAATAGCATTCATATGAACCAATGAATACTTGATTCTTTCAGTAGGGGAAAGGGAAGGATGGTGATACTGAGTGGGTATATGTTGAAAAACAGGAAAAGTCTGATTGGCTGGACATGGGCTTAAGTCACGTGTTTAGTTTTATGGATGTGGATCACTTTACACGTTGTGTTACAAAGAACATTTTGAAAGTTAAAGATTAGTAAAACATTGAACAAATTTATAATATATATTTTTATTTTGTCCTAGTTTATACTCATAATATACAAGAGATGTATAGATGAAACATTGTTAAATGAAAGACAATGTAAAATATATAAACACATATATATAATCTGAAAATAAAAGAACAGGTAAAAATAAATTGATTGGTAACAATAAGGGTTAAGAAAAATATCAGAAGTGTGTTATTGGATAGGTTTAAAAGAAAGAAAATCAATAGTTAAAGGTAGCAGTTGAAAAATTAAAAAATAGATGTTTAATAGACAGAGAATATATTAAAGATTGAAGGTCATTGATGCCAGGACCAAGGTTAAAGGTTAACAGTATTAAAAGTTGCAGTGCAGTAAACTTCTGTTGTCTCCATCTGCTTTAGAATGGAATCCAGTTTTGATATCTAAGAGAGCCATGTCATTGATAGAATGGTTTGTTTGGTTAAAGTAATGAAAAACGGAAGGTTTTTGTTTCAGTACTAATGATAAAAACTTGCTTTGTTCAAACAGTGTTAAATATGTTGATGGGAAGCCAGCTGGCCCTCCCAAACCTTCTGCAGGAAACCAGGGAACACAGATCATAGTAAGTATTAGTACCCACTATAGTGCATATTGATCAAAGAAATCAAGGACAATAGTCAGAAGGGGTATCTAGTCTGGAGCTTAGGTTTAGATGTTGTTCAGTGATAAGTGTGCTAATGAAAAGCCATTAAAAGTAACATATCAGAATAATTATTGAAATCAACTTATATCAAGATAAACAAAATATTTCTTATTGATACTTACTGTTTGTCAGGTGTAAACAGATCAGTTTGTATCAATATAGACAGAACTTATGATGTACAGAGAAACTGATATTACTTAACAATAGTTGATGTTTATTCAGGTTAGTTTGTGTCAGTACAGACCAAGCTTGTGATGTACAAACAAACTGATATTTCTTAATGATAATCAATGTTTATTTAGGTCAGTTTTTATCAGTACAGACAAAATTTGTGATGTACAATATTGTTTGTTTAAGAGCAAAACCACATTAGACTATCTCCTGTGTCAACCACAGGGAATCAAACCCAGATTCTAGTGTTGTAAGTCCATGAACTTACTGCTGTTCTAGCAAAGGACATGATGTACAGATAAGCTGATATTACTTAATGATAGTCATTGTTTATTCAGGGCTATTTGTAACAATACAGACAAAGCTGACTATGTCCAGCAAGACTTATTTTACTTATGGTTAGTGTTTCAGGCTATTGCTTAAAGTAAGAATAACTCGAACCCTTTCTTGACCAATGAGCCCTTTTAAGAACAATAATTTTCTTTTTCAACAATTTTTAATTTAAAGATAATTTAGATTTTCTCTTGTTGTAGCATTTATTTAGTGTAATTCGCAAAGAAAAATGTGAAAGAAAAGTTGTTTGTGTGTATCTATATATATATAAAGTTTCATTTCTGCCCAGCTCTTTAGGAGTCTTGCCTGTAAACAATACATTTATCTTTTTTTTTAGAATTTTTGTGTCTATCCCAAAACATAAATTTGTATTTGCTAGGAAACTATCATACCTTAAAAATATAACTGTCCATGTCTTGTTTCTCACGAGATTTTCTTTTTATGTTTAAGGTTTCATTATTATACCCATTTGTTTCTATATATTTATGATATCACAGCATCTGATCTTAAAAGTTACTAATGAAGCATAGCTTTGAAAATAGCTATAGAGAAAGTTTACAAACGAGTGGATAGAGCTGGTTATGAACTATTTGCATCAATGTTGAGTAAATAAATGGTTGAGCAGTAATTTGAGGGAACTGAGCAAGATTAAAACTATGAAATTGAATGGGACTTTTAAAAGACTTGAGAACAAACCAAAGATTTTATAGTTTCTTTAGACATTCTTTTTCATTCCTGAAAGTGCTTTCATGTTAAATTATATCTGTTTGCAAGCTACAGATCTTTTCTTTTGTGACAGGACCTGGGCTCCTAGTGAATCTTTAAAATCAATATATTCAGAAGATTAACTTTCAAAACCCGTATAAAGAGTCTATAATTACCCATATAAGTTCTTTGTTGTAGCTGTCATACATGTGCTCTTAAGTGGACACTCATTGTGGTCAGTGACATATATGGTGTGGAAGCAAAACCTCAATACACTACAGGTAATCACATACAACTATACAGCTCATTTGTAAGACTTTCCTCAGTGAAGTTATCTGAGGGGTTGATATGTGTGCTCTTTGTACTTTACAAGTTAAATATAGGTAAGTGCAATAGAAGAATCCATAAGTGGCTGCTTTAGAGACATCACGTATGGGAGCTCAAAGAGTGAGTTCTGAAATGAACATTGCCAGTTACAAAGTAATAGGGATTTACTCATTGTTATCTAGAAGGTAGGAAACAACCATGTTTAAAATATATACCCATGTTTTGTTCTTTAGAACGTATAATATAGCACCTCTTCAAGTGAGATTTCACTAAAAATAACCTGAATTTCAGTCAATTTCAACCTGTAGTGAGGCCTGCAAGACATCAAGTAATTTTAGTTAGATTTAGCATGTATGGCAGGCGATGAAAAACTGTTCCATTGACTTAAACACATATTTATTGAATATTATTGTTAAGTTTATCATTTTAAACAATGCACATAACTAAGAGAACCTATTAATTTTTTAAAAGAAACTATATTTAATAGATGCAAATTAATGTTAGCCAAGAATATTGTCAGCAAAAATATTATCATCGCTGACAAAGGTGATGCTGTTGTGAAAGGTGAGGTCAAAGGTCACCAATAAATCTTTGTCAGTTTTCATTGTGTTTTTAATGATTTTTAGCTGGAAGTGGTGACTACTACAATAGAAAAAAATATAGTATCAAAACAAATATGATAATGATTATCAGTAATGTGGAAACTGACTGAATATATAGAAAGAAACTTTCCGGTCAGTGATAAAAAATAAGGTTCTAAAGTAAAAGGAAGTGTTTTCCATGTTAGTTTTTTCAAAACTGTCTCACAATATAGTTGTAAAATTTTGAAACAAAAATGATAAACTATTAAAATTATGTGAATTTTTGAAAGTCAGATCTAGATATTATTTAGTACGTTTGTACTAAGTTTCTTGTAAGTTGGTTAAGAAAAAACCAAGTGACATCCCCACTGGTCTGGAAAAGGTTAATCAAAACATTGTAGTCTGTCAGTGTTGAAAGGTCAATTGAAATGGGAAAACTACTTTCTTGTAAGTTATACTCATTTTGATGGAAAGGATTTTGCACCATTGCCTGTCATTGCAACTTTAATCTAACAAGCTTTTGCAAAGGACTTTGAGGTCAATGTTAGAATATTTCTTGACCAACTTCCTACAGACTCTCCACTGTAAATGGACATTGGCTTCCATAACCACAAGTGTTTGTGCTTTATGCTTCTTCGTATAATATTCTTGTACACAGTTTATTCAATATATGCAGCATGTTAGCTATCCTTTTTTGGATGGGTGGAGAGATTTTCTAGATGACAAATTTTTCCTTTGGTATCAACACACCTGTGGATGTTGCAATGCTGCCTAGATGAAGCTACTTCCTCATATGGGTGCACTGATCTTTCCTTGGAGTGTTAAGGATAGCTGCCTTTGAAATTGGTGTTCTTCTGGATTTTTTTCTCTTTGCTAATTTGTGATATCCATCCTTGAAAGGGGATGTGATATGTACATATTCCTACAGCCTTAATATACCCATGATGGCGTTGCACAATCAACTGGTCAAGAATTTGTGAAAACCAAATATACAGGTGTTAAACATGACTCGTTATGCCTTGTTCTGCATCAGCAACAATATTTCATTTTATTAACATACTCTCAAAAGGAAGTATTTTAATAGATAATCTTTATTAGGAGACTGTAGATAAATAAAAGGAGGAAACCAATAATGTTAAGCACAGTTAACACAAAACTTTATTAGTTACTCAAAGCCGACTAGTTTCGGTAACACAGTTACTATAACTGATGAAGTGATGATGGTAACTATGTTACTGTAACTAGTTGGCTTTAAGTAACTAATAAAGTTTTATATTTCATTGTTGCCAAAAAAATCCTTGTTTCTATATATTTTAATGGGAAATTTCACTTGTCAGATATAAGGGTTTGTCAGAAACATTTGTCACACATTTGTATTGAAAGATTTTTTTACTTCTCACATATTAGGATTTTTAGATAATTATTGCTGATGTGTATCTGTAATGTTCCATATAAAAGTTTTTATGATTTTGTACCTTTGTATTATGACATTTTTCCTTTGAAATTAAAACCTTCCTTTAAAAACTACAACTGTTACGTTTGTTGGATTATTTTATATCAATATGGTAGCCTCGTTCTTCTTGGCAGTGCACCATGCTTCCTGCCTGTTCTTATGGGTGCTTAAGCTATTATATGCTTCTTATTATTGTATCTTTTTCTTTTCACAGGTGGAAGATCTGTTTTATAATCTGGCAATTCGTAGAAAGGCCTTAAAGAGTACATCGGAAGAGCATGCTAAAATACTAGAAGTGGTGTGTCGTTATTCAATTCATAATGCCTCTGTTGGGTTCACTTTAAAAAAGGTAATAAAAAGTGTTGTAATCTATAGTTAAAGTATGATAAAAATGTTACTGCTAGATATAACTACCTATATGCTGAAAGCCAAAAAATATTGTAAGTTTATATACATTCATTTAGATTGTATCCTTTATTTTATTTGTTTTTTTTTCACGGAGTTTACTGTTAATATCAATTTAGCCACAGAGGTTGAGTATTTTATATCAAAATGATTTTGGAGCCTTACCACGTTTAAGCCTGTGTCACTTAATGATCTTCTATATTGATAATAGCATTGCAGCATAGTTTCCATTGCATAAACCTCTGTAGTAAGGCTATCATGTTCAAAGCACACTCTTCCTCCCTGTTGCTTTCTGTAATCTCTTTAGTGTATGAGAACAGCAGTTTATCACCACTTATTTCAATAGTTATGTCACACAGAAAAACCATAGTGCTGCATCTAACAATAATATAACAAAAGGTTCTATTGATAAGCTGTCATGTTCAAAACACACACCCTCTTCCTGCAGCTCTCCATTATCTATCTAATGTTTGAGATTAAGAGTTTCCCAGTACCCATCTCCATAGTCCAATAACACAGAAATCAATAATGCTACACCCCAGTGGCTCAGCAATAAGTCTGAAGGTTAATAATACTACAAACCAGTTTTTGATTCTTGTGGTGGGCACTGCACAAATAACCCTTGTATAGCTTTGTGCTTAACAACAAACAAACCATGATGATATACATATGGTGATCTGGCAGGTATGTCTTTGTATGGAATAGTATGAATGATCATTTCATTCTCCAGCTACTTAAGGTATGTGGTAGCTTAACTGATTTGTTATGGAAGCAACCTGTGTTGTTTCCAGATAGAGATCCTTCTTCATTTTGTTGCTTGGAGCTCGTGAATGGCTTTTGCCAGTGACTTTTCTGTTTGTGGATTCTCACCTGTTACAAAATACTGCCTTCCGCTTACCACATCTAGGGTACTATTTGTTGCAGGTCTATTTCTAAATGGCCCTAGTGTCATGTATTGATCCTTTTTTTTTTTCCAAATGCCATTAAGTACAAGGGATATATCTACCTTTGAAATTCTAAATCCCCAGTATGAACACGTCCGTATTTATGAATCTTTTGTATTATAGAAGTAACTAAATTGTTAAAATAGGAAACTTTTTAGGTTAGTTAAGGTTAGATTAGATTAGATTATATAAATAGTAATAATATAATAAATTTTCATGAGTTACACTTGCGAGCAGCTCGTGTATTATGTAATTCAATAGCGTAACGTGAGCTGCATGTTTGTCAGGTGATTCACAACTTATAATGGCAGGAACAGTAGTTAGACATGGTTCAAAAGGCAATAAAACAATAAAATTTGAGTATGAATAGATGTGTACTGTTATGAGTTTAAAGGTTTTTAGGATAAACAAATGTGGTTCATGTTACAATTTGAAATTATTCTAGAAAGAAAAAAAAATTGTAACTTAGATTTGTTTTGATTTTTTTTCTCTCTTTCTTCTTCTTTTTTTTTTTTTTGGGTGGTTACGAGATCAGTCCAATTGACCAACCTTGTATAGAGTTAGGGTAGAGAAAATAACAGATAGAATATGAAATTTTACTGGAAAAAAGTTTGAAATTTACATAAGAGGTTATAGAGATTATGCAAATGAAATTTGAGATGAAGGAAAGTATTTTTTAATCTTAATTTAGAAATTACTTTCACTAATAGTATTAAAAAAAATACTATATATCTTCACGGACAAATCTTTAGTAAAAATACTTCATTAAAAAATATGATTTTTTGTGTACAAAAGACAATGTATATTAAAAGTCTGCCAAATTTTGTAAAGATACACAAACTATATTCAAAGTTATAGCATGGAAACTATAACGAGTACAAAATGGTTATGAGGTTTAAACCTGATTGATAATTCTAGGGTTAACTCTTTCTCCTTTGTTTTTAGATCACTTTTTTTGGGGAACTTTTTGTACAGCCTTCTGATCTTGTTTTTTCAGGTTCTTCATTTGAAAGTGTTTTATTTTGAATAATTGATGTCCCTGTTCTTTTCAGAGATTAACCAACTTTTTTCATTTTCTTTCTTTTCTATTTACTCTGGTGTTAACAGATTCATTTAAGGATAATCTGTATTAGGACTACATTTAGATCCTGTAGCTATTTTCTCTAGTTCCTTTTAGAAAGATAATAAAAGATTCTTTGACTTTTGAATGGCATGGCCAGGTGATATAGGTTCCTGACTCACAATCTGTGGGTCACAGGATCGAAACCTGTTGTTGAAACATGCTTGTTTTTCAGTCTTCAAGGAATTATAATGTGACTGTCAATTCCACTATTTATTGCTAAAGAGTAGCCAAAGAGTTGTCTGTGGATGGTGATTAATTGCCTTTCCTCTAGTCTGTCACTTCAAAATTAGACAGCCTTTGAATAACTTTGCGCAAAGTTCAACAAACAAATCAAAACTTGTGAATGAGGTGCTTTCTCTGTTCAATCTGTTACCTCTCTCAGTGTAAAGAACTGACAACGAAATTGGGTAATATCTTTCATTTTCCTTGCAAAATGTATAGAAGATCCTAGCAGTAATTAGTATTGTTAAGTCATTTTTGATTGTTCTATTATCTAATCATTTACTTTCTGAAGTTTTTTTTTTGGAACTTTGTTATCAAAATATTTGACAGCTTTTCTTTCTTCCTCATTAATGAATCAACTTTTTGCAGTTGTCTGTTTTATCTTTACCTGAATTATTGGTTGCTGACATGCCCTTCTATGGGACTTTATATATATATATATATAATTCTCAGGTTAGGCTCTTATCTTGTTTCTTGCTAATAGGAATTGACAGTATATCAATATTTACCATAATCATTATTGTTAAGTAGAAAATTATCACTCCAAAATTATTACTGAAGTTATTCACACATTTGAATATGGCACAAACATTCAGTCAGATCAGTCTGCAAATTTAACCATCTATTTTGATCTTTAGTTTTAAGATATAAGCAGATGTTTTATGTTTCTGAAAATGTGATGCAGACAGTAATAATGCATTACCATCTATGGCATCTCTAGAATCAGCTGTTGTTAATATTAACGTCAAGAACAATTGTTATCTGGAATTTGAATTGTTTAAAAAAATAAAATATGAACTTTCAAATGCAATGGTCTTTTAGACTTCTTTATATTTATTTGTTAAAGTTCAGAATTGGCAGTTTTAATTATGGAAAAGTATAGTCACTCGGGTTACCCATTTTTTTAAAGTTTTAATCATCATCATCATCCATCAGTGCTTGCCAAACTACTTTTTGACTCCTTTTCATCAGTTTTTGCAGATGTACTGCCACTTTAGATGGCTAAGCCACAGCCTTTCACCAGTACAGTTTCTTGAATGATGTAACTAGTTATTCTTCCTTGCTTCTCAATTGCTAGTTTAGGCCACTTTTGTATCAGAGTTGGAACTCTTTGTTATGGATCTTTGAATATTTTGGGTTCTTTCTTTTGGTCTTTTACCTTGGAACTGTTCAGTCAGTCCACCTTAGTTTTCCTCACTCTTTTTTTCCTTTGCAAATCTTTTGGGCTGGAAAGTACTTAGCCATAAACTTTAATTATAATAATTATAATTTAGTATTCATGTGGAGCATTGTTGACAATATAAATTTATATTTTATGCCAAAGGGAGCTATTAATTCACTACTAACAAGACTTTAATAAGCATATGTAGTGGTGTTACTGTGCTTGTTTAACCATTGATACAAGAATCTTTGGTGTAGAGGGTATGTAAGTTTGAAAATATTGAACTGCAGATGCCTAGTGTATTAAATGTTTGTAGTGTTTTTTCAGATTTTTTAGAATATGAGTAGAGAAAATATTTAAATGTATTAAAACAAAACTGTTGATCCACACATGAAAAAATAATTTTCAATTTTTTGTATAGTATGGAGAAACTTCAAATGATATTCACACCCTTCCCAACTCCACAACAGTTGACAATATTCGGACAATTTATGGAGCTTCCGTTGCCAAGTATGTATGGATAAATGTTTTTCTGTGAAATGTGTTTTCACCTGGACTTTGTTGTTTAAATTGGTTAAGTGCAATAAGTTCTTACTGAATTAGAAAGTAGCTAAATGAATCTTTTTTTTGTCATTGAGGTAAAACTCGTGTAATAGAGCTTTGATATCCATGCTGATTCACTAAGCTAGGAATGAATATCTGAACTCATCATCGGAACTGAATTTCAGCCCATGTTTTAACGACAAGTGAAAACAAACTTACCTGAATTATTATGTTTTTGGTCAGTAATTTTCTTGCTTTTAACATCCAGCATACCAACCACTTATCATATTAACATTTATAAATGGCAGTTTAATCAATATTTCATCATCATCATCTGAACATCGAATATATATGATTCATCTCTTACTTTCATGTTACTTACAATTTATGGATTAACATGAAGAAAAGTATTTATGAACTATTTATGTTTTTAAGAGGAAACTGAGACAGTGTAAAGAACCATAAAAACATAGTTATGTTTCTTAAGTAATATTATATTTTAATCATTTACCATATGCAGGGTTACCACAAACCTTGGAAAGTCATGGAAATTGAAATTGGCTAGGAAATGAAGGGAACTGGTCTGTTGGTCAGGGAAGCAAAATTTCCCATGTTTGGTAACATGAAACATGGGAAAACAATACAGATGTGAAATACAGAATTTGATATATAAAATCTATCATAATCACATGAAAGAAGAAAATGTTAACCCTTCCGATACGGGTCACGGGTGAAAGGCCATGTCACCTCGTTTGTTAATTAGCTTTCAAAATTTTATTGAACTACTATTTCGTGAATTTATTTCAATAACTTTGGTATCAAACTGTAGATTATAATTCCAATTTTAGTACTATACATTACTCAATTTCTTAATTTAAAATTAAATATTAAAAAGAACAGATAAACATCAATGTTTGTGTGTCACTTGGTATTATGTTGAATGCAGCACTGGTTCAAATTAGATGTTTGTGAAGTAAAAATACTAAGTCTGTAGTTTTATTCAATTTAGAAACTCAAGTTACCAATATTGACAAGCTAGAATATAAAATAAGAACTCATATTTTTTCTATTTGCTAAGATATTGCTCATGTAATAAATCAAACACAGTGGCACACTGACCACCTTTTTCCATTTTTGGAAACACTCCCTTATATACACTTACTTCTATATATGACATGAATAACCAATTGAAAGCTCAGAATGTCCCCCTAGTGGCTTTCTCAGCTATTTTCATATATAAAGTCATTATATCTTTTTTTCAATACAAGACAGCATAGAGGTAATTTGAGTCTTTAGTCTGCTCGAAATTTCATATTTTTTAGACCCATATACAGCCTTGTTACAAGAATTCATAAATTTTAATTGTGTTCTGTGGTATTGATATAGTAATTTATGATTTTTTTGGTTATTCCAATGAATATATAAAACCTAAAAAAAATTATTTTGTTTCATATCCTCCATGTGCAACATTTTACATGTGAAATTTGAAAATTTTCTGATGCATAAAAGTATTTTTAATCTTAAAATTAAAATTACTTTGTATGATAAATAGGCAATATTTGAAAAGAAAAAAAGACATGATAAAAACATGATACAAATCTTAAGACTCAATAAAAAAAATTGATATTTTGTGTATGAAAGCATTGCAATGTTTACTGATAATCTGCCAAATTTCGTTAACATTCGCTTACAGATTTAAAAGTTATAGCATGAAAACTATAAAAAGCACAAAATAGTTACGAGGTCGGTCCCAGGGACTGAGCCCATGCTGAAAGAGCTAAAAAGATATTCTTCTTGTAATACAGTTTTCACACAGACTAATAACATACAAAAAGTAGACAATTTCCCCTAACTCTCACAATTTGTCTAGCTTTCTAACTATGCGACAAGAGCTGTTACAAGTTCCGTCAAGTTAGTCATTATCTTTCCCATAAGAACGAAGCTTATACTATCAGTGAAAACTACAATTCTATATTCAGAAAACAACATTATAGAATACATCATTTGATAGATAAAAACCTTGGCTTTCTGTTGGTTATAGATAATATAGACATAAGGAAGAACTATTAACAAATCCTGAAAGAGAGGATGTGACAGGTGAGCATGGCAAAATGGGTCTGATTTTCTATTTGATAGTTCTGTAGCCAAACAAAATTTAATGCTATAACATAAACAAAAAGTAGATAAATAAAAGCATTAAAGGTAATTTCTGGCTCACAAAATGGATACTTCATGTGAGTGTGGGACATGCAATTCTTTTCAGCATCAATTTGGAATTTTGGTGTCATGTAAATCATCTGATACTGTAGATTATTAGATTGTTAGATTATCAGGAATAAAATAGCATCATAAGCTAATATTTAAAATAATACATTCAGATTTTGATAATCCTGGTGTAAAATATAAGACTTTTTTTTATCAATTTAATTAATTATCCCTATGTATTCAAAGTTTAATGCATTTGTGTACCTCTGAATACCAAAATCAGACTGGTGAATAAAATACTTAGTTATCACAACCATTTGACAGCAAAAGGTGAAACTTGTAGAGTCTATATGCCCAGCCTATCAGTTGGGATGAAATTATCTGTTTTGAAACTGATTGAGCCTACATTTATAGAAACTTTTGTATATGTGCATCTGTGAAAACCAAGAGAATCTGATGTGAAAAGTTTTGTTTTAATAATCAGAAGGCATTACATAAAAAAAAAAACTTGTAAAGTGTGGTATAATGGACAAAGAAAATTTACTTTTATAACTACAAAAGCTAAGGAAGACTAATAAATGTTTTATACTTTGACATGTAGGTAGCACCACATGCTTTTTATTAATTCACTGTTCAGATTATGCATATTTGAATATTTATTTGGTTACAGCTTATTTTCTGTGTCATATAAAAATGTATATTAGAGCTAAGGCCACTACCTTGTTATGATTTAAAAATTCTAAATTTACTGACCCTTTTAAACATTTCTAATTTATCTCTGTTCCAAACACCAAATTGTATGATGTATAACTATCAGCTGAGCAGAATAGTAAAAAGTGGTTTCTTGGTGATAGTTGGGATTAAAAAAATGTATGCAAGGAGTTGCTATACAAATGTTCAATCGTTCATTGTACTATTAACATATGCAGTTTTGTTTCTTTAATTAAACTTTTAATATTATGATCAGTGAATTGTTTCATGTTTTAATAAGTATCTTTTTATCTTACTTACAAAAACCTTTTTCATTTGTTTTAGGGAACTGCTCAACTTGGAATGCCAAGATGAAATGCTGAAATTCAAGCTTGAAGGCTACATCTCAAATGTTAATTACTCCATTCCAAAAAGCAGATTTCTTTTATTCATAAACCGTGAGTATATTAATCATTAATAAACTAAATATCATTGACTGTTATATATAATTTTAACATTTTTTATGTAAAAACTATATTTTGAGCTCATTTTTATTGTGATTGTATTTAATTCTGAGATTCATGAATTTATAAAAATAATGAAAAGATACCATCAAAGGAAAATATTCTTCTAATAGGATTTAAATAAATTATTTCTCAAGATTATTTATTATGAAAAATAAAAGTTATTTAAACAAGTTTTGTCTACTTCATAAATGCAAGTATCATGTTTTAAAATTTACTTGATGTTCAACATGGAATTAAAAGTAAGAAATGAAACACAATCTAATTAAGTGACTATACGATATTAACATAATGTTAAAAATATCCTGCATTAATATATGATAACTACCCTACATTTTCAACAGTTGAAGGTGTGTTTGTGTGAGTTTTAGCAAACTGATAGCAATTTTAAATACTAAGGTGAAAGAATACTAAATACCAAATTACAATATAGGCTTAACAATAAGAAAAAAGAAACTGATGAAAAACTGTACAAAATAAGAACTGGCAATGTTTCAATCAAGCAAGCTTCATCAAGTTCCCTTTGAAGAATGATTGGCTGAAATATTGAAGAAAAAATTTTGTTTTTAGTTTGTCTTCAACCACTTTCAAATCTTCTGTAACTTTGTTTTTCGTGTCTTTTATAACATCCGCTAAGCTAAAGTTTGTCTCTTCAAAGTAATTGAACTATTTAACTAGTTCATGATACTACTTGGTGAAAGAGGTAGAAAGTGTCTTCTTCAACAAAAGATAGTCAGAAGAAGAAATGGTTTTAATTATGTCACTACTTTACCAGTCCAGCAGTTTTATCATTTGAAAGTAATAATGGAGAGTAGCAGTTTATAATTATTTTTCTCTTCGGTACAGACAGTGGTATAAAGCTCTTGCATGTAATGATTTTCTGATATAACTGATAGTGGAAAACTTGGAATCTTGAACTGAAGATTTCTTCGTATGGCTAGGTTGAACAGCGTGTCTTATATGTAATAACAATAAAAAACAACAGAGAACAAAAATTTGAATTCTTCTACTTGAATGCTTGTAGTTAATAAGTCCTTTAATTTGTTGAATTATTTGAAATTTCCAAAAAGTCTGGAACCATATTCAATGAATTTTACAGAATGTGTTCCACATGCTGTCCTTGTAATTCGAAACAACCTTAGAAATGTTATTTCCATTCTCTTTGAACACTGTGATGCATATTCGTGTCATCCACACTGCCAGTCTCCTTAACTTTAGCTAGCAACACCACACAGCACTGTGAATGATATTTTTCTCTTTCTCTGAATGGCATGCATTAATTTTGGCAGTAACCTTCCTCTCAAACCAACCTTGTCTGCCACACAGCAAGATTAACTCAACCTTCTCATGCTTTGACAGTACCATAATCAAGAAAATTAAGAAAAGCTGCAAATCACCTATGGTTCCAGACTTTCAGGCATCCTGCATGATAAATATTTAAATTTTCTTGGTTTCAGTATACTTGTTTTTATAATCTTGAAGAAACTCCCATGCTGTCTAGGTTTTACCTAATATTTGTTGTTTTGAGAAATGTTCATTTCTTATTTTAGAAGATTTATCAAAGCATACATTTGTAATTGAGCAAACTTGGGAAAATATTAATCTAGCATAGTTTTGTGTGTATATTTTTGTCATAACACATTACCAAATTTTTCAGTTTAAGATATTAAAATGTCAAAAAAATGTTTTTCTTCACATTTTTATGTTTGTGTGATAATGAGTTTAGATAATATCATATGATGACCTATAAAAGATTTTGCTAGTAGAAATCAATTGTTTTTTCTAGAATTAAAGTCTAAGACTAATAAACATTTGTAACATCACACTGTAAACTGAAAATGAGTCTTTTAGTGATAAAGTATACAGCATTTTTGTAAAATGAAAACTATCATTAGTTTTGTTTTGTAGAAGTGTGTTGTTGCACTGTTTTTTAAGGTTAGAAAGATAATTGTTTAAAGATATCGTTGATATTTATCTTTTCAGGCAAATTTAGGCTTTGTAATTAATTGTAATTACTTTTTATACTTATGAAATATGCTATATTTTATTGATATCTTTTTCCAGATCGTCTTGTCGACTGTTCATCCTTGCGAAAAGGCATTGAGTCTGTATATAGTACATATCTACCCAAAGGTAGCCACCCGTTTCTCTACCTCAGGTATGTTATAGTACATATCCACTTAGACAAAGTGATCCATTTTTCTACTTCAGGTGTGTTATAGTACATATCCACTCAGAGGGAGCCACATGTTTCTCCAACTCGGGTATATTATGGTACATATCTACCCAAATGTAACCACTCTTTTCTCTACCTCAAGTATGTTATAGTAGGAGCCACCTGTTTTTCTACCTCAGGTGTTATAGTACATATCTAACTCAAAGGTAGCTACCTGTTTTTCAGCTCAGGTATGTTATAGTACATATCTACCAAAAGGTAGCCACCCATTTTTCTACTTCAGCTATGATATAGTACACATCCACTTAGACAAAGCGAACCATTTTTCTACTTCAGGTATGTTATAGTACATATCTAACTCAAAGGTAGCCACCTGTTTTTCCACCTCAGGTATGTTATAGTACATATCTACCCAAAAGTAGCCACTTTTTTCTCTACCTCAAGTATGTTATAGTACATATCCACTTAGACATAGCCACCTGTTTTTTTCCTCAGGTCTGTGACACCATTTAAACTCTATAGTGATATTATTTGTTTTTATCATGAACTGCTTAGCATTGAAACAGGTGCCATTGTTTCTTTTTCTTGTCTCTCTTTCTACAGTCTGTTGATAGATTTTCTCATGAAATTTGTTTTACTTCACCTTTATTGATTACTATTAGTGACCTGCGTTTTTACTAAAACTAATTGAATTTCATGGTCCAGTGTTGTAAGTGCTGTTTTGTTTATTCCATTCCAATAGTTTCACTTTTTCATCTCTGGATGTATATACTAATTAGCAATACTTCCCTGACTATAATTAGTTTTTTTCTATCTCACTGACTATAATTAGTTTTTTCTATCTCACTGACTATAATTAGTTTTTTTCTATCTCACTGACTATAATCAGTAAGACGACTGTTTTCTTTTTCCACCGTCTTCAGTCAGTTAATGTTTTTCCTAAATCACCTACCTTACTCAACCTGTCTGTTTTCTTTCTAGGATCACTGATTATAATTATAAAAGCTATTTCTCTTCCCATCTATTTTAATTATCTTAAATTGTTTTATTTCTAAATCACTGACTATAATCAGTAATATTGCATTTATTTGAGAGCCTTTTTAATATTCTTGTTCATGAAGTTAAGAGGATGTTAATTTTTCTGAAGCACCCGTCTGTTGTTGGTGGAATAATTACGAAAAGCTCTGGATATAAATATTTGAGTTAAATTTAATTTGAAGAACTGAGGATCAAAACATCCAAAACTGGCATGTAACCCAGTACAAGTCTTCTTATCAAAACATCCAACATTGATGAATAATGTATTCCCATTAAAGAGGACATTTTGACATTTTTTATTTAACTTCTAACGAAAGAAGCTTGCATATTGAAGAATCTCTCGTCATTGAAACAAAATGCAGTCTTCATTTGGCTTTCTTCTGAGGATTTGAACTTTTCCCACTAACTATAATCCGTAAGAGCTATATTTCTCTTAATCCACCAACTTCTGTTAAGGGGTATATTTGCTTTCTTTCAAGGGTACTTAGTTATCTATATTAACTTTTCTTGCATCTATTAGTTGTGTATTTGTTTTCTTTTACCCACTGACTTGTGCTAATATATATCTTATTTTCTGTTTTGTTAGGGTGACTGTTGTCAGTATAAAACCAAAGTCTATAGCTATGTAGAAAAATAGAAGTGGGAAATTACCCTTTTTTTTTATGTTTACAGTGTAACTCAAATTTTCTTTATCTTATGTAATTATCAGTCAGTTTCATTATTATCCTAATTTGTTTAACTACTGTTCCCTTTACTTTTCAGTGAACTTGATTTCAAGCATTTTTTGTATTTCCGATCTTATTCGTAACATGAGTAAGGTAATGATGTAGAGAGTGGTAAATGTTAAATACTTGGGATTGGTCATTTGCTCATACATGGAATGGGCCCATGCAAATGGCATTCTCCACATCCCTCTTAAAGCAGTCAAATTATTTTTTAAACAATGTACATGTCATCCCTAACAACCTTTTACTACTACTTATTATTACTATCCATCCATTCCCTGATAGAAGAAGGAATCACCTTTCATAAACTTAAGGACTCAAATATCACTAACTTAATAAATGTATTTTCCATAAAGTTAAAGAAATGCTTGTAAACAAAACTTTCAAAATCTTTGAGTTTAACAGAAGAATTGAGTATCTGGTCAGCCCAGTACTTAATCAGAATGTATAAAAGTGTTGAAACTATATCAGATTGATAGAAAAAAGATATACAGCTTCTACCTTTTTATGCATTTAACTCAATATTAAAGATACTTTTATATGTTTTTCAAATAACCCAAATATTCAGCCAAAACTTGGTGGATTTACTCTGTTAAAAACTTTATCAAATGAGACATTTATGTGTCATTTGAATGCAGAAGTCCACTTTCAATTGAATTAGCCTATTTTTTATTTTATTTATCACAAACGTTTTCCAAATGGAAAAAATAAAAATAACATTTCCTGTTTATTGTAACTGTTATACCAGCTATAACCCCCTGTGGCTTAGTGGTAAGTCTAAGGGCTTCTAATACTAAAAATTGGGTTTCTATACCTGCATTGAGCAGAGCACAGAACACTCATTGTGTAGCTTTGTGCCTAACAATAAACAAAAATTATGCCAGTTATTACTATCTGCTAGACTCGTATTTCTTTATGTTATAAACAGGCGATTTTCAGTTTAAAAACAGATATTGACTTAATATAAAATTCATGGCAATCTATGTTTAATTTTCACCTGATTTTTGTTTTATAAACAGATGACTTTCAGTTTAAAAACAGATATGGCCATAATATAAAATCCACAGCAGTCATTGCTTAATTTTTGCCAGATCTCTCTTAATATGAGATCCAGAGCCTGTTTTGGATATTTTTCAAACCTAAAAGTAGAAACACTGTAATTAATTTTAAGCTTACATCAGTTGCATTATAAAATGATATATGACTGATGTATTCAACTACATTACTTCCCCCCCAGCATCATCTCTCTCACTCATCAAAAGGAATCCAGAACTTACTGTTTTTTCTCTATAAATTAAGTACTGATAACCATATTACAGAATCAAGAGAATTATAAAAGGAACTTGTGGTGATATTCTGGTATCCTAGTGATATAACTTGAACTGCTAATGTTGTTAAGATTTATGTATTTTTCTAGTTTATTTGCATTTCAGCAAATTAGAAATAACATTTCAGTTGATATTTACATCACATATTTACATCATAGACAAAATTAGACAGATTTTGAATATTAAATTTAGGAAATATAGTGTAACAAGAAAATTAATTATACTTTTGTGTTTTGACTTTTTAGTCTAGAAATAGACAGTCATAATGTTGATGTAAATGTACATCCAACAAAACATGAAGTTCGTTTTTTACACGAGGACTCTATTGTTGAGAAAATCCAACAAGCCGTTGATGCTCGTTTGCTGGGTTCAAACACATCTAGAAATTTTCTAACTCAGGTAAGCATATTGCTTAAGAAAGAAATTAATTGTAAAGAACTTTGTAAAAATCTTAGGATGGTACCGTTAACATAAAAAAAAGTAATCTATTAATTGGGGTTAATAAGAAACACCACAGCCAACAGTCTTTATAGTTAGCCCACTACAGGAGTGTAAAAATTCAGAATATGGAAGAGCTTTATGGGAAACCAATTGCATTTGTGATTTCCATAGTTTCATGAAACTTGCATAATAAAAACTATTTGCAGCTAATACATCATAAAATACGAAAATACAAAATAAATGGTGTATATATATATATATATCCCTGTAAAATAGTGTGAAATATATGATCAACATTATGGTCAAAGGACTTTCACTGAGGATACTACTTCTTTGTATTTAAAAAATAATTAACATAAGTTAACTTAAAACCTTGTGTCATGAACATTGAAAGATTTATGTATTTTAAGACTTAGAACATTATCTGCATTTATTTAAAATTTTGGTTTATAATTATCATCTAGAAAATACTGATTGACCTTAAAGATAAGGACAACTCAATACTTGGTGTCAAAGACTGACAGAAATCAAAATGTGATCTAGCTTGGTTAATGAAATTTATTAGGTTTGTGCTTTTCATAAATGCTATAACTCCTGCATGTAAGACATTAAAGACTTGAGATATATGGATTTCTGTTATGTCTCTTATTAAAAGGTTTATGTATGTGTATTCCAAACCTAGCAACCAGACAAAAAAAAAGAAGTGTTTGTCATACTCACATGTAGCAAACAACATTGACCAAGCATACTTGGACTTGTATGGCAGTGGCGATTCATCATTTGTCAAATTTAATCTCTGTTCACAAGTCTCTTTGTGGAAGTAAAACTAATATTATAATTAGCATAGAATGTGGTACCTAAATTTACATTGATAGGCCTTTTTGTATGACATCTTTCCTTTTACTTACACAAGTCAAGTGGTTGGATTCAATGTTGAAAAAGTCATCATGTGTTTAGATATATGATTGTATTAGTCTTTCTTTCTCATATTATAAAATTATGTAAAACTTTTTGTCCCATTTGAAGTACGGAAATCATAATTAAACTATTAAAAATTCAACTTATTGTAGGGGCTTAACGCATGTTTAACAGCAGGCTTAGTTTTAATGTGACTCTAAACTGACATAAAATTAACAAGTAGAGCTGCAAATTGTTTTCAGTTTATCAGTCATTATCTAATTTTTGGACTTCTTCTCAAATGTGTCAAATTCTCTGTTAATTTCTTTGATACTATTATAATTTTGTGTTAACCTTAGAAAAAAAACATTGAACATATCAAAAATAAGTAGAACATATGTAGTTTTCTACTTATTCAGTTTATATGATGTTTGCAGCAATTTTGTATTCAGTCTAGTTTTGGCAAGACATATCTCTTATCTAATTGAATAATAAGCACTTTTACATACCCAAGGATGTAGAAGAATTTTTGGTAATGTTGAAAATAATATGTTTAGAAGTTTAAAAAATTTTAAATATTCACTATTTTATAATTACTCTGAAAAGTACAATATACTTTTATAGATTTATTAATGTTAATTGCCTCAGAAGTTTTACAGCTTCGTGTCCAATTTAGGATACTGAAATCAATAAAACATACTTGATGAGGGATGTATGTTTAGATAGCCATACCACATGTTTATTGATTGTGCAACAGGATAATAAAATCAGTAGAAGACACTCGATGAGCAATATATATATATATATATTTAGATAGCCATTGTAAAATAATCTCTTACATAACCTAATGGCTTAACCTTTTATGCATCAGAATCATGCAATCAAAAAGGCTGATTCTTATTTCTGTATATTTCACAGGCCCTACTTCCGAGTGCTCGTATTTCCTCTAATCAGACTGGTGCTGTGTCAATTACCAGCCGTACAAGTAATAAGGTCTATGACCACCAAATGGTTCGTACAGATTGTAGAGACCAGAAACTAGATGCATTTATTCATAAAAGTTCAGAGAAAAGTAGAGATGAAGAAGCTACAGTTGCATCTGAACAAACTAAGTTAGTAAATGTTGATTTTTCTAGGAATACTAATCAGACTAAATAACATAGTTTAGCAACTTGATAATAAATCTATAACCAAATACATATTTTTCCACATTATGGGCAAAATCTTACTCTCTTTCAGGATCTCATTAGGTTTTAATCTCTAGTCTTACACTGGGTCTTAAGCAGGGAATAGAACTCTTGATCAACATGATTCTACTTGGTTTCTAACATCAATCAAAAAAACCATTGTTGGCAGCATAATATGACAGTTGAACCTAGATATTAAGATTGCATATGTAGGCTGCTTCATTGAAAAATGATTTTACAGCTGTAATATTTATGAGCTAGTTTATAATGGTGCCATGATATAAAAGACTGTTTGGTTTAAATATTAGTGATTAATTTATGTTTTTGAGTGAATATTTTATTATTTTTAAGTTTTGTTATAATAAGAGTTAAAAGACAGACAATATTAGACAGATAAAAGCAAAGAAAATATAGTTGGTGTGAAGTTAAGTAACATAAAAGTGATAGGCCTAATGACTAACATAGGCCTAACGTTTGAAATATATATTAGAGTGAAACTAACACCAAGTAACAGTGGAAAGGGAAATAAGTTTATTCCGTCAAAGCAAAATTTTAAAGTAATTGAATCAGCCTGTGTGAACTTTGACAAAAGGAACATAGGATCTTCAGAAGAAAGAAGACCACAATCGTAAGTGAATCACACCAGACTAATATTGCGATAGTATTAGAGAAAGTAGTTAGACTTGTCATTTGATATTCTAAAGTAATTGAACAGGCCTAAGTGGACTTTTGACACGAAGAGGAGAACTATACATATACTGATATAACGTTTAAGATACGTGTATATTCTCTATAATGTGAATACTTTATTGTACATATGTTTAACTTGTTCTGATTATATATATTATTTGAAAACAAATAAAGTGTGTGCTGATTATTCATCGTTGAATTTATCGCTAACAAGTCACAGACACCTACTGTAGAAGAATCCTAAGCCCAACAACAACATAGTATTTACTTATATTTCTTAATAGTATAAATACAGCCTTTTTATTTTGACAATTGGCAAAAGATTGTATTTTAAATCCTAACATTATACAACAGATTTCTATTTATAATTAGTGTTTACATGGAGTATACAACACAGTTTTCATATAGAATTAGTGTTTACATGGAGTATACAACACAGTTTTTACTTAGAATTAATGTTTACATGGAGTATACAACACAGTTTTCATATAGAATTAATGTTTACAAGACGTAAACAACACAGTTTTCATATAGAATTAATGTTTACAAGACGTAAACAACATAATTTACATTTACAATTAGCGTTTTCATGATATACACAGCAAAGTCTTTACAATTATTATTTACGTGAAGTATACAACACAGATTTTATTTAGAATAAGTGTTTTTGTGACGTATATAACACAATTTTTATTTAGAATTGGCATTCACATAACGTAAACAACATAATTTACATTTAGAATTTGCGTTTTCATGAAGTATACAACACAATTTTATTTACAATTAGCCTTTAAATGAATTAAGCAACAAAATTTTCATTTAGAATTAGCATTTACATGACGTATACAAAACAGTTTCATTTAGAATTAGCGTTTACATGACGCATTCAACACAATTTTTATTTGGAAATGGCGTTTACATGACGTGTACAACACAGATTTCATTTAGGATTAGCGTTTACATGACGTAAACAACACAGTTTTTATTACTATTATTGTTTACATGACGTATACAACACAATCTGTATTACAATCATTGTTTACATGAAGTACACAACACAGTTTTCATTTAGAATTTGCGTTTTCATGAAGTATACAACACAATTTTATTTAGATTTAGCGTTTACATATCGTATATAACATCTTTTGTATTTATAATTAGTGTTTATATGATGTATACAACACGATTTTTATTTAGAATTAGCGTTTATATGACGCATACAACAGAATTTCATTTAAAATTAGCGTTTACCTGACGTATACAACACAGTGTTTTTAGAATTATTGTTTACATGAAGTATACAACATATTCTTTATTTATAATTAGTGATTACATGACGTAAATAACGTGATTTACATTTAGAATTGGCGTTTTCATGGCATATACAACATCATATAAACGCAAAATCTAAATGAAAACTGTTTTGTATACCTCATTCAAATGCTAATGCTAAATGATAATTGTGTTATATACGTCATGTAAACGCTAATTCTAAATGAAAACTGTATTGTATATTTCACATAAACAATAATTCTACAAAAAACTGTGTATACGACATAGTTTTTATTTTAAATTAGTGTTTACATGACGTAAACAACATAACTTATATTGAGAATTAGCGTTTACATGATGTTTTCAACTGATTTTTTTTAGAATTAGCGTTTACATGAAGTATGGACTGTAGAGGAACAATTGTCCCTGGTTGTCAAACATGAATATACAACACAATTTCTGTTCAGAATTAGCGTTTACAAGAAGTATACAACAATTTCCGTTCAGAAGTATAGTTTGCGTAAAGTATACTACATAGATTACGGTTTACATTTAGAATCAGCCTTTAATGAAGTTTACAATACGATTATTGTTTAGAATTGTTTACATGAAATGTGCAACACAGTTTTAATTTGTAATTATTGTTTACAAGTTTATAATACGATTATTGTTTAGAATTGTTTACATGAAATGTGCAACACAGTTTTAATTTTTGTAAACAATAATTACGTTTTACAATGCAATTATTATTTAGAACTGTTTTCATGAAGCATACAACACAGTTTTCATTTAGAATTAGCGGTTACATAAAGTATACAACACAGTTTTTGTTAAAGATTAGCGTTAATATGAAGTATGCAACATAATTTTTATGTAAAACTAGCGTTTAAATCAAGTATATAACACAGTTTTTATGGAGAATTAGCGTTTAAATCTAGTATGCAACATATTTTTTTTTAAGAATTAGCATTTAAATGAAGTAGTGTTTACATGATGTATACAACACTTACTACATTATAGTCAGGTTTCAAATTATACTAATCAATATCATATGATATTCGAATCCTATCTGTCAACACTGTAAATAGCCAGTTTTTAATTTCATTAATCACCAACACATAATAGTGAATTTTCAGATGTTATTACTAAACAGTATAAGAGATTGGGTTTTGTAATTTTACTCTTATAGCTGTGTTATAGAGATAGTTTAAACTTATTAAAGTATATAGTAATACATTAATTGTGATATACACATTGTTTCAAACTCCTCATGCCATACAATAATCTGTCTTGTAACTTGCTGAGGTTCAGCGTCTAATCTAGTGGTTTACTAAATGATGCAACCCACACACGTGATCTGTTTGTACATAGAACGAGTCAGTGACTATGGTTACAATGTTTAATTACAAAGAAACTACTGATGTAGAATACCAGCTAAGACTCTCCATTCTGTAAGTAGATTTTGCACGTGACGTATCCTTACGGCACCCTGCCGGGATCAAACTCTCCACCGCTGCGCCATCTGGACCAACCAAACGACATTAAACCGCCATGTTTAGACGCGTATTGATAGGCTAATATCACGGATCAGTAGCCGATGATACTCCTTTGGGATTCATTAGCGTTAAACCATCATCCTCTCAAAATATTTGCTGCAGTTCCCGTGCATTTCCTTTGTACTCTCGGTTGCCTATTTTGAAAGGCCGAGAAGAACGCGAGGTACGTGTACAGAACTTTGATATAGAAAACTACCAGAAATCTTAAGAGCGTGAATAACGAGCCGACAAAACAGCTATCGTTCTGAGAGGTTCCAGCTCCTCAATCCGGTCCCTAGGGCTAATTCACCTTTTCATGGCGTGATCTGTTTGCAAACAAACGACTACACGATCACAATAGATATGGTCCTGAAGAGACCACGAGTCCGAACCACTCAGGTGAGACAGCGTTACTGGGCTATGCACGTTTATAAACGATTCCCAATATATATATAAAAAAAAGGAGTTGATCCGGTTTGAGCTCTTTTTCTCCTATGCACGATACAAAACCGAAACCTCTCACCAAGAAAATGATTCGAAGAAAAACATATAAGTGGAAACAGATTTCTGTCACTTGAATTCTAAAGATTGGAAAGATATAGCGATACCACCTCTGCCCTGCTTATTTCTTGGGTTCCAGAGTATGTAAGATTCCCAAATAGTATATTGTTTGTCTTGTTTTTGTGTACGAGATTATATTAGCAGTAGAAGACTCGATGTCTGATGGACAGAGTTGAGATACAGTGGACAGACAAAACTCCTACAATTTTATTAATTGTCTTTTTCTTCAGCACGAAATTATTCAGGCACTAGAAAATCTGACAATGTGCTTTTGTCGTCTGATTGATATACTGTAAAAGTTAGAATCTCCTTCAAAGTTAGAGCTGATAGTCTGTGAAATTAAGAATCTTCCTTAAAGTCATGTTTTGTTGAGATATTCTTGTGTACACTATTTTTTGACAGGAAATAATTTACCCAAAAAGGATCCGAAGGCCACCTGGAAGGGTCACCTCTATCAACTACTTGCACTACTATCCAGTAGTGGGTTATCTGTCAGTCAGTCAGGAGACACTAAAATGACGTCACATAAGGGACACTTAACGTTGCAATTTGTATTTTCGTGATTTCAGTAAAACGTGTGCATGTCATGAATCACTAGAAGAATTGTGCATTCTGTAGCCTACAACACAGCATGACGTATTAACTTCAAAAGCAAGAAATAAAAATGTTTGTTACTCTTAATTTTGGTTGTATTTACTCTTGACTCAGAACACTTCCGTTATTTTTCTTCGGATCGTGAATGCAAAGAAACAAGAAGTTACATTTTTTGATAAAAGTATACAAGCTCCATTTCTTCGTACAGGATATAAGTCTATTCAAACCAGTAAGTCATCACAGTAGCTTGTGACTTCTGTAGTTATAGGGTACGAGTATTTTGTTAAATCAACAAGTCACTATAGTAGCCTGTGACTTCTGTAGTTACAGGACACGAGTCTTTATTATAATCAACAAGTTACTATAGTAAATTGTGGCTTCTGTATTTACAGGACACGAGTCTTTTTTAAAACCTTGAAGTCACTATTGTAGCCTGTGGCTTCTGTAGTTATAGGATACAAGTTTATTCAAACCAGTAGGTCTCCACAGTACCTTGTGGCTTCTGTAGTTACAGGATACGAGTCTTTATTATAATCAACAAGTTACTATAGTAAATTGTGGCTTCTGTATTTACAGGACACGAGTCTTTGTTAAAACCTTGAAGTCACTATTGTAGCCTGTGGCTTCTGTAGTTATAGGATACAAGTTTATTCAAACC